ATCTCAGGTAATGCTTGTATATTAACAGCATGGACTCTTCTCAGCTCTTCAATGTTATCATACATTGGTTCAGGAGGAGGGGCTGTGGAGTGAACAGGAGATAAATATGAGGAGTGAGTTTTGTAACTGGTTCCTTTTAATGTTTGGAGTAACACGTCAGCATGTTTGAACTTCTCTGATGCTGCAGTCTCAGCTATTGAAAGAGAGAGGGAGAGAAGTATGTCAATATGTATCAGAAATGTAATAAAATTGGGGATGATTTTGGAGCCATTTTTTGGAAAAAAACCACGGGCTATAGTACAGGGAAATTTTCAGAAATTGGTTCATTTTTTAAAATGGCCATAACTCGAAAAATTGAAGTCAGAATCAGCTCAAATTTTCTACACAGCATAAGTACATCAATATGTATCAGAAAATGTAATAAAAATTAGAGGTGATTTCAGAACCATTTTTTGAAAAAACCATGGGCTATAGTACAGGGAAATTTTCAGAAATTGACCAATTTTTTTAAATGGTTGTAACTCAAAAATTTGAAGTTGGAATCAGCTCAAACTTTCTGCACAGCATAAGGGCATTAATATGTATCAGAAAATGTAATAAAAATTTGGGGTGATTTCGGAGCCATTTTTTGGAAAAAACCATGGGCTATAGTACAGGGAAATTTTCAGAAATTGGCTCATTTTTTTAAATGGCCGTAACTTGAAAAATTGAGCTCGGAATCAGCTCAAACTTTCTACACAGCATAAGTACATCAATATGTATCAGAAAATTTAATAAAAATTGGGGGTGATTTCGGAGCCATTTTTTGGAAAAAACCATGGGCTATAGTACAAGGAAATTTTCAGAAATTGGCTTGTTTTTTTTAAATGGTTGTAACTTGAAAATTTGAGCTCGGAATCAACTCAAACTTTCTACATAGCATAAGTGCATCAATATGTATCAAAAAATTTAATAAAAATTTGGGGTGATTTCGGAGCCATTTTTTTGGAAAAAAACATGGGCTATAGTACAGGGAAATTTTCAGAAATTGGCTCATTTTTTTAAAATGGCTGTACGTAACTTGAAATTCTGAGTTCGGAATCGACACAAACTTTTACATAGCATAAGGACATTGATATGTATTAGAAAATGTAATAAAAACTTGGGGTGATTTCGGAGCCATTATAGCCTTGTGTATCTTTCAGAACTGCACTGTATAGCATTAGTTACATTGTGACCTTTCAATGTAAAATAATGGGCCTCCTTTACTAGTGAGTGTCTGTATAATAGTATAGCTGGGGTGTGTAGAATGGAATAAGTGGGTGTGTGTCATCAGGTGATTGTACATCTACTGATCACTGTTGGCTAGAGGTAAATATTATGCTAAAGTTACAAGCACAATTTATAGTGTGTTTGTTAATTTTGCTAATAAACAATTTGTTCAACGTACACACGTTTACTTGTTATTGCAATAGCGTCTATTTATATCAGCAAACTCAGTACATGTGAGTATGTGTGTGTTTACCTAATTTTAGTATTTTATTTTTCTTCTTAGTTTTGACAAGACAGTAAGATAACAGTATCACTGATGTTATTGTTAATGTCAATATGATACCAACAACAAATGCAATGACAAGTAGAACAGTTGAACTGAGCTCATCACTGCTGCCTCCTGGTTGACTGTTAAGAGTTGGAGTATGTGCTATAGAAGAGAGAGAGAAAGAGAGAAGACATTAGTCTTTGTTATTGTTGTTGCCATGTTCTTATTTTGTTCATGTCGGCGTGTATAAAATGAAAGTGAAAGTTAAAGCTACAATACCAAATCAATACTGTATGTTTATCATTATACTAACTGTAAACATCAACCAAAATAAATCATATACCCCTGTTAAATTAGCAAATAATATTTTAAACACACACAGTAATACATACAGTTCATTATACATTATTTCACTTACAATTAATAAGTGTTGTCGATTTAGTAACACTCGTATATTGACTGCTGCTCAAACTAACAACTCTTGAAGTTGAAATGGACTGTACATATGAAGAGCTAGTGCTGTCCATAGCAACACCAGAGCTACTAGTACTGATCCTTATCAGTGAAGTATTGATGAACTTATTATTAATGATAATTGCAGGGGCAGACCCAAAAGCGTTACTCCCCTCGTAAATGTATATATCATAGACTCCACTGTATAACGTACTCTCACAGTTACTACCAGTCTTTGGTACTTGGAGTGTTTTATTCTCATTGTATTGAGTGTCAATAAATACAATATAACAGCCTGTTAGGATAGTCCCTGGTATGAAACTACACGCAACACAAATGAGATTTTCAGTTGAATGTTTAACAGTAGCATTAGTGATCTGATAAGTACCTAGAATATAATAATAATAATAACAATAATAATAATAATAATAATAATAAATAATAATAATAATAATAATAATAATAATAATAACAATAACAATAATAAATAATAATAATAATAATTTTAAATAATAATTATAATTGTATTGTTTACAGGATGAACTTTGTAAAAAAGCAAGTTAGCATGTGAATTGGTCAAAATCTTCCCTAAAAATAAAGTGCCAAAGCTTAAAAATAAACATATTGAACCTGTTACTGCCGGTGACAATAATAAAACTGTTATTATAGCAAGTATACCAATAAACTGTGATATATTTAGTTACAACTCACTGAATGTCCTAACAGTTTCGCTTGTGTTTCCTGCTTCATTAGTAAACACAGTCTCTGCAGTGTAGTGTTCTCCTGATAATAAATATGAAGAAATGTTGACAGTCACACTCCAGACTGAGTCACTAACTGCAGCAATGCTAACTTCAGAGCATGAGGAGTTACTAATGTCATATAAATAACAAGAAAGGGTTGTCTCCTGATTTTGTTGTTTTCTTTTAATCACTGTTGATAGTCTTGCTGGTCTCTTACCAATACAATCAGTGTTGTTGATCTGAGAGAGAGAGGGAGAAAGAGACAGAGAGAGGGAAAGAGAGAGGAGGAGGGGGAGAGGGAACGAGGGAAAAAGAGGGAAAAACAAGGATTAGATAACGTGAATTTGTTTTCTCTCTTCTCTTTGTCCAAAAGCATCTGTTACTACAGACTCTCACTATAAAAGCTGTTCATTACTATTAACTATTAGTAGTACTATAGTCTATTTTGACATATGATACTGTTTATGAACACTTATAGTCTGTGGTCTTACTTTACTATACAGTAGAACATTAATACCATTTGCTGCATAACTAAGATCAGTGTTGTGTGAAAAGGTTGAAGGAACTACAGGAAAAGGAAGAGAGAGAGGGGATAGAAGGGTTTGTAAGGTAACACCACAAAACCACTACTGAAAATCTAATTAGGAAATGAATACAAATTGTATATATGCACTGGATATGGAAGAGTAAAGGGGAATTCATCAATCAGCAGTAATACATTCACTATTATGATTATACATATATTTAATAAGAATGTTGATATTCAATATTATGATAGTACAGGTACATTATACCTTCATGAAGGGTGTATGTGTAATTATTGGGCTCTCCCTCTCCTACTCCATTCCAAGCCAACACTTTAATCATGATTTGTTTAGTGCAGTAATCACTCGGTTGTATTGGTAAAACAGGATTATTCCCAACGGTCCACTGCGTCGTGTTTTTATCTACAAATTCTATCGAATAGTTAGATATTGGGACACCAAGTAGAGTAGCTGGGGGAGTAAACGTGAGAAGAAGTGCTGTTTTGTTTAGTTCAATGTGATCAATATTTGTCACTGAATTCAGCCTTCCTGTAGCAATAGATACAAATACCATTTATGATCAATAACATTATTAGTCAAAATGTGCTTTATACATTCAATGAATTAGCAAATTAATAATAATTTTTATTATTGGCATTTTAGACAGCTTATTTAGCTTTAAAATATTGTCTGTATAAGTGTAGGCTGTTTTCTCAGTTATTATTATTTTGATTACAATGAGATAATGCTATCAAAATTTCTGACTCATAATATTACAATACAGTACAATACACTCCAATGATACTACAGTGTATTTATTGTAGTGTGGTAGACAGTGTAAGTGTGAAAGCATTTTTAATGATGTTTTCAACTAGTGAGATCATTCAAATTATATGGAAACTAAAACTAGTTTGTGTGCCTGTTGTTTGCAATATTGTGAATGGAAACGTTTCATTTGTGTACAGTCTAACCCTCCAATCATCACCTGTTGAGTGAATGAATGACAATAGAGTCATTACACACTCTAAGAACAGGTGGTCTACATAACTTCTCTCATTACACATTATTTAGTCTCGCAAACCAGACCCTTCCCGCCTACAAATGACTGTAGGCTGGGGAACGGTCTGGCTAGCGAGACTACACATTATTAGGTACATCAGTCACACTCCATTATACACTGTTTCATTGTGGGGAGTGTTAGTGTCCATCTATTGTTTCAATCAATGAAGAGCCATTTCTCTGTCTATGGTCTTTGACAGCAACTTTTAAAAATTTGTAAAAAATCCAAATTTGATCAGAATCCGCTCAAACTTTCTACACAACATAAGTACATGTATATGTATCAGGAAAAATTATTAAAATGGAAAATTCTCACTTTTTTATTTTTGGGAAAATTTGGCCGAAGTCCCTGTACTATAGTACAGGGACTTTGGCCTAATTTTGGAGCAACTTTAAAAATTCGTAAAAAATCCAAATATGATGAGAATCAGCTCAAACTTGAAAAGCAGCATAAAACATGTATATGTATCAGGAAAAATTATAAAAATTGAGAAGTCTTTCAGAGCCATTTTTGATGAAATATCCTATACTATAGCCCATGGTCTTTGACCAGATTTTGGAGCAACTTTTAAAATTTGCAAAAAATCCAACTTAGATTGGAATCAGCTCAAACTTTCTACACAACACAAGTACATGTACATGTACATGCTGTTACTCTAAAACTGACCTTGTATCAATAGCCTTGATAGATTACTTGGTATTGCAGGTCCATTGAAGATGAAGCACTGAATAGTGACATTATTATTCAGTGGTATTGCTGGTATCTTCAGTAAGTGTTCTTTAAGATTAGTGCTACTCTCCAGTACTGTATCATCAGTGGTGATCCCTCTGCCTGAGTTATAATCATGTTCTGGTAGTCTGTCATTCACTAGCCAGTAAGAGCCAATGGAGTGAGCAGTACAATTGAATGTTGCTGTTTGCCCTTGTGTTATGTTTACTGAGTGAGGGTGAGCCTCAAATTCTATGAAAAGAGAACAAAAGAATTATTGCCCCCACACTGTGATATTATTCACGTGTATTTACCTGCAGGATGAACTGATGCTGATAGCCTCAGTAATGAGAGCAGCACTGCAAAAGAGAGCATTCTTTAGACTTTGATGTGTCGAAATCTGTATTAGGCTGCCAACGTAAACTCCTTTGCAATTTTAAATTTTTAATTTTGCCACACAGGGTGGAGCTTAGAGGGTGTGGCCGGATGAATAATGAATATTTTGCAAACAAAAATGGTAGTCATGTCTGTGGCATGTAATTTAGGAGTGCTCTTGTTATCACTTCTCCTGTTCTGTTGTAAGCCTTGTTAAATGGTAGCAATTACATTACATCTATTTTACTCTCTCTAGGTACCTCTGCTTGCCCTCATACTGATGATCACGTCTCCTACATGCACGACATTACAACTTGCAATGGATCAGACGCTGTGATATCTTTCAACATTACTGGAGTAGCCAACTGTAGCAACATACATGCAGATTATTTCGTTTATATATATTATCATTTTCCAGCTCCAACAACACACGAAAAACTACCTGACCCTATCTTTCATAATGAAACTGGCCTATGTCAAGTTTTTTTGACACTGTACAATGTCACATATGAAGACTTCGTGGACGCCATACTGCAAGTCCGAATTCTGACACCACCGCTAAACAATCCACATTTCAATTGCTCAAATAATTTTTCTCTTATTTTCATTACAGGTAAGTAAAGCACCTTATGATCTTAATTTCCCTCTCTCTCTCTCTCTTTCATTCACAATCCCTCTCTTTCTCTCACACCTCTCTCTTTCTTTTCATCATCCCTTGCTTTCTCTCCTCCTCTTCAAGACCCTCCCAGTCCTGTCAGCACATTAGATTCACACATCAATTGTAGTGGTGTTTTCATATCATGGCCGAAGCCATATGCCTCAACTAGCTGCCCCGTTTTACACTACATCATAATATTAAATAAACAAACTGATGTAATCACTCCTTACTCATTTTTTAAATATTCATGGTCAGAACTTTCCCACAATACACTCTATACTGTCAGTATTGTTGCAGTAACCGGTGCTGGTTACAGTATAGAGTCTAATAGTACAGAGTTCATCACTGCTTTAGGTAAGTAAGCTTATTCTTGTGTGACTTATTAATGTACATTGCTTTGCTTTTAGCTCCTAAGGTTATTATGATTGATCATGATGTTCCATTGTTGGCAGAAGATGCAGCTGTTTTTGTAAAAGCAAAAGTAAGTTGTATACATAAGTACATGTACCATAGTTACTGTAAGATCAAAGGGACCGCCAGGTGGTACATTGGCCATGTACACCTAACCGCTGCCAGTTAACGATATTCACTGCAAGATAATGAGATTCATTGGAGTATGTACATCTGTAATGAGATTCATTGGGTGAGTTTATCTGTAATGAGATGCACGAGTGATCTGCGCATGGCGCATGCTCAGTATCCAGCATGTGGCAGAAAATGGCAGCATAATAGTAGGCTAGACCAGCCGTTCTCCACTTTATTGACGAAAATAAAGCTCGTGCAGAGATAAATGCTACAGAGAAGTTCCAAGAAGGCTTTATTGTTCTGTCAAGAAGTAAAAGAGAGGGATAGAGTTTGATCTCCCAGCAAACGAGCAAAACGCGCATCCGTCCCTGGTAGATCCCATAGACATAGGCGGCTACAGAATCTTGAATTAACCAGGGTTCATTAATTATTCATAAAAATTGGGGGTGTGGTCAATTAATAAAATGACTAAAAAATCATTATGATAGCTCACAAAAGCCAGTTACCACACTAAAATAACTGTAAAGTGGAGCTGATCATTAGAGTAGACAGTTGTGGCTATAAAAAATGAATTCTAGTGATGAGCTCACTCCTAATAATAACAAACCACACCCTTTGGGTGTGGTTTTGGTTGAAAACTACCAGGGCAAAGCCCTGGCTTGCCCGGGCCTATAGCCAGGGGCGTATCTGAGGGGGGGCCTACAGGGGCCTGGGCCCCCCCATCAATTGTTGTAGATAATGATATTCATTGTTCGTTTTATTACTTACCACCTAGTGATAAAAATTAACCACCTTGTAATCATTTACAATACATTGCACAGCAGTAAATGTCAAGAAATAAGAAGTAGACAGAAGCAAAACACTCATTTTATAATAATCATTGCTGAAAATGTAAGATTTTGATGCTTTTAAAATACGCAAAATGCTGTTTTAGTGCACTATACGAACGCTAAAAAGGGGTGTGGCCAAATTTTCAGCGCGCTTCGCGCGCCATTTATTTTCAGGCCCCCTCATCATTTCCTTCCCAGCTACGCCCCTGCCTATAGCCGCCTATGCCCATAGATCTTACAGTAAATATAGCACATATTATATGAACCATGGTTTCTCGGTGAGTATCAGTAATGTAAGACCTTCGCCCCTCGATGTCTGCCCTCGGCTTCGCCTCGGGCAGACATCTCGGGTAGTGCTGGGCGATAGTATCGATATATGCGATGGTCGCGATAGTAATCTACTATCACTATCGTGATAGTTGAATCAACACTATCACGATTGACATGTGGTACATGTACGCATGCGCATTATCAAACACGTGGTTACTTTAATTAGTTAGTTCAGCTGTGAAAATGGAAGATGTTATCATTAGTAGCGGTACTGCTCCAAAGAGAAACAGAAATATTGCCTTTACCTGGTGCTACTAGTGTTGTATAGAAGTATTTTAGTTTTCCTGCTGTTGATGGTAAAATTTCTGAGTGCTTGAATAATCTCCAAAAGGCTCATGCAGAAATTTCAAGATATTCTTTAGAGCCTATTAGCTGCTAGATATATATATAATCCTTTGGCATGGTGGAACATAAATTTCTTTTGTTATCTAATATTAGCTAGGAAATATTTATGTATACCGGCGGCGTCTGTTCCCTCTGAATGTGTATTTATAGTACTGCTGGGAATATAGGTACTAAAAAAAGAGCTTGTCTACATCCAGAAAATGTCCTTCTAGCTGAAAACCTCAAATATTCATCTACCTTTTATCCTTTTGCCTGTTTTGTTACATTAAATAAATATATTAAAATTAATTGTTAATATCGTGATAGTATCACTATCGTTAAAATTTTAAGAACTATCAATCGTGATATGATAGTAGCACTATCGCCCAGCACTAATCTCGGGGCTCAGGTCTTACATTACTGATACACACCTCGAAACCATGGTTTATAT